TTGATAATCTCGTAACTGTGACCTAAGAATATTTGATGTGCGAAAATTATTTTAATCACGTTAAATAGGCAGTTTAAAAAAATGGGTCCGTACAAGAGGTAATTTTCTCAATTTAATTCAGGGCGAATGTTATAAACTATACAAAGATTTATAGATAATTTTTTAAATATAAAAATAATAAAAGCTTATCACACGCATCTTTAATTCCTATAAAAATTAGCAAGCCAACATCAAATTCCACCAATTTCAAAGTGATAGATACAATATATTAGCTAAAAAATAGTGCTTATTTAGTATAGAGAATATTGTATGTTGGGAAAAAAAATACTGTTTGCAAAATTGTAGGGATAAACATTACTTATTTACAGTATTATATTAAGAAAATAAATATATATTTACTTTTATGTGATATTCAAATTTTGAAATTGAACGTTTTTTAAAATTTTCCACATATAGTAAAAAAAAAAAATTTAGGCGGGAATTATATGTTGTTTCAATTAAATCCATATCCTTTTTTATATTAATAGATTACACTAATCTTAAATATATTATTTTGTTTTTCTAAAATAATATATTTCTATATATTAATATTAAATATGTAAATATTTAATTTATTCTTTATAGATAACTAAAAATAATTTATTCTTGCCCAAATCGATACCCAGGTCAAGACCGGGTCGATCGGGCCAATACCCAGGTCAAGATCGGGGCGACCGGGTGTTGTAAAAATCAGTTATAAAACTTGGGTTTGACCCGGTTTTGACTGAATTTTTTATGGCTAAATATTTAATTTGAGTTGAATTAAATATTGTAGAAAAATTCTACGTTCCGAGTAGATACCCGTGGTATATTTACTTTCTCAAAACTCATTTTCGGTGAGAGAAATAAATTGTTAAAGTTAGCCATTAAAGGGCACGTAAAACGTTGGTTGTGGGATTTGAAGGGTCATAAGTCACTCCCACATTTGACTTAAATGAGTCTAACTCTCTTTATTATAATAAAGAGAGTTGGAGAGGTTACAACAGGCACAAAGCTATGCACCAAGTGTTGGTTTTGTTTTCGGCCACACGCGGGCGACCGGCCGGCCGGCGGGCACGGGCACGGGCCTGGGCCTGGGACATGGGCCTTAGTCCTTGGTTCTTGGCAATTGGACTTTGGGCTGAATTTGGGCGGTCTTGGGCGGTTGGGCTTGGGCCTTGGGCCAAATCACTATATATCTTTTTGCTGCAAATTTATTTGCAACTTTAGGCCTAACTGAAAAATTCAATTCTAGTTGGAGTTGGACTCGGGTTTTGACCCAACCCGAGTGAGACTAATGGTGTTGATTACCAGTTAATGGTGATAACTCCTGGTTAATGGTGAGTTAACATCTGAAAACGTTTCTGCCCATTATCTCTGCCTTAAGTGACAGATGTGACTGCTGGTTTCCTTCAAGATGTGGAAGTCCTATAAATAGGACTTAGAGCTGCAGAGAAGAATACAACATTTTTCATGCAATCTGAATATTCTCAAAGCCTCACGCATCATATCATAGTGCTCAGTTCTCGTCTTCGTTTCTGTTCGCTGGAACTCTGAAGGCTGGTGTGCTACAACTTCCGAGTGTATTGCCGTTGTATCTTTGGGGACATTACGCACAGACCCGTCAGCACTATACGGGGCGTATTTGTCTTGAGGAAAGATTTCAATCGCCTCGGCTTTCAATCTGTCTGCATTTAAGTTGTAATTTTTATTTTGCTTTAATTCTTCTTGTACGAACTGAACACTTCAGTCAGTTCATAGGTTCATGTTGTATTTCAAAACACAAATTGTGTAACAACCGGGTCCCTTGCTACTTGTTCGTATAACCCACCAGGATGGTTCGAGTTTCGAAACAATGCTCTGAGGTTAGCATGAACATAGAGAGGTAGGGTTTCAAATCATGGACAGATATGTCTTTCACAGGTCGTCGGATGAGCCCAACGCCTACTTGGAAGCGCCAAACATGATGCGCTCCAACAATTTGGTGCAAGGGTGAGAGCATTTTATCAAAGGCCTTCGCAATCTGATTTAGTAGTAAATCTTGTGTCATATTCCTTAAGGAACCACTTCAAATAGAATTCCAACGGCAATTCCAATGGGTATTTTTCAATGCTATAATTATTTTCGTTGGAATTTTCCAACGGATTCCACCGGAAATTTCCAAAAAAAATATTATTTACCTTGGAATGAGTTTTCCATGGGAATTTCTATTAGATTTTGACGATTCCAACGATAGATTTTTCAACGGGGTAGAAATAAAAATTTCAACGAAAATTACATATTCTAACGAAAACTCCTATAGTAAAAAGTCATTGGAATCATCAAATTCCATCTAAAATTCCAAAGAAAAGCACATTCCAACAAAATATTTTCGTTCAAATCATTCCAACGGAAGTTATATCATTGGAATCGGTTGGAGTTTTCGTTGGAATATATTACCATATGATAATATAATAATTTTTTTGTAGTGAATGCTTTTGTTGCAGGGTGGCAAAAATTGGTTGTACTTCGTGAAGAGCATTTGCACATTGCATAGCTGTGCAACAACATAAAAAAAAAAAGAAAAAAAAAAGAAAAACAAGTAATGGTTCAGATATGTGATGCCTACAATATTCGTTTGTTGTTTTATTAATATATTCTTAGGAGGTTTGATTTAATTCTCCCAGACTGTGAACCTCAATTCTCCCCATAGGAATTCTCATTATCATCTCTAAGATCTGTCATTATCATTCCTTTGATGGATTTCTGCATTATTATGGCTTCAGGAAGCAGAAAAGCTTCAAATTTAAGTAGTGACGATGATTTAGAGCTCAAAATGAAGAAATTCTCGCTATCAGAAGCAGAAAACTCCATAGTCGATAATGGGCAAGACGACATTGTCCTTAGCAAGGACGAGTGTACTCGTAACCTCTTTGGAAAAATCACAGGGGAGAAGCGAGCCAGCTTATACGGCCTCAAGAGGACGATGGGTATTTTGGAAAATCTAGCAATAAGTTGAAATTAGGGAATTGGGCCCAAACTTTTTCCAATTCATTTTTTAGCTTGATGAAGATCTAAAGAAGGTTGCCTCTGGAACTAACTGGGTCTATGATAATCAATATCCCATTCTCCGTGAGTGGACAAACAATATCAGTGGCAGCTAGGGGTGAGCAAAACTGAGCCGAAACCGAAAACCGAACCGAACCGAGCAATTTGGTGCGGTTCAGTGCGGTTTTTTAAAAGTTCGGTTAACGGTGCGGTTTGGATTTTGGAAAACCGCAAAAATTTCAGTGTGGTTCGGTTTTCTGTCCGAAAGGTGCAGTTTTAACCGAACCGCACCGCATGTCATAAAGTGTCATTTACTTTTACACTTTTACATATAAAATACAAGCAGCACTTCTAGTCTTTTATTTTTACATTTAAAATTTAAAACTTCAAAATTAAAATCAACCCTAATTTTTACTCTTGTCATTCTATCGTCTCAACCCCGCTCTCGTCTCTCAACCTCCGCCGCTCACTCAGTTGGCGTTTTCACTTTTCACCCTCAGGCCTCAAGCTCCGCCGCTCTGATCCCCTCACTCTCACCCTCCGGAGTTCTCGAGTCTCGACATCGCTCTCAGTCTCTCACCGTCGGCTCACTCGTCTTCCACCGGCTTCGTCAGTTTAGGTCAGCTCTCACTCACTCTCTCGATTTTTTTTTCCTTCTCTCATTTCGATTCGTTCTCTTTCTTAACTTTTTGTAGAGGCTTGAGAATCAAAAAGTGTTTTTTTTTTCCTTCTCTATTTTTGATTCTTCAGTCCTTCTTCAGTTTTTGTTGAAGACTGAGATTCAAAAAGATGTTATTGGATGCTTAATTTCTTTAGCTTTTCTTCAGCTCTCACCAAAATGTTTTTATTGGATGCTTAATTTCTGAGAATTGGATGTAAATCTGAAATAATTATATTTTTTGCTCTAATTAATTTCAGCCCCAATATTGAAATTCTTCTTGTATGTATAATATTGTTGGTGGAAATGTGGTATGTTGTTCTTATTGTTGTTTGTTTTTGTTTAGAACATTGTTATTGAGGACCTGAGGCTGAGGTGATGGCGGATGATTCACCAACAGGAGGTCTACCATCCACGGATGACGGATCGGCTGCAAGTCAGACGTCAAAATTAAAGAGGAGCTGTCCGGGGAGTTCAAGTGCTGCAGCTGATGCTACTGCAGGTACCGGGATTGCAGGGGCCGGTAATAATACGAGAAGGCCGATAGCTTGGGATCACTTCAAAACTATTGTGGTCGAAGGTGTTACCAGGGCTGAATGGAAACATTGCCAGAAAACGTATAAGTGTGATACTCGAAGGAATGGTACGTCTTCACTTCTTCACCATATGTCGGTTTGTAAAGCTCATCTAGATGTGACCGAAAAAAAAAATAATTGAAATTGAATTTGCAAGCAATAGCTGAGGGTGATGAAATGGTAGGAAGCTTAACTAGTTGGAAATTTGATCAGGAAGCCATTAGGTCAGAACTAGCAAGAATGGTCATTGTTGATGAGCTTTCATTTCGGTTTGTGGAAGGTGATGGATTCAAAAACTTCATGTCGGTCACACAGCCTAGGTTTAAAATACCTTCTCGTTGGACTGTGTCACGAGATTGTTATCAATTTTACCTAGATGAGAAGTTAAAATTAAGAAATTACTTCAAAATGTATGGAAAAACAATTTCTATTACCACAGATACTTGGACTTCCGTGCAAAAGATTAATTATATGCGTGTCACTGCCCACTACATCGATGTTGAATGGAGCTTAAATAAAAAGATCATCAACTTTTGTCCCATTGAGAGTCACATGCGTGAGGATTTAGGAAGACAAATAGATGGTTGTTTGCGTGATTGGAGAATCTCAAAGGTGTTTTCTATTACGGTTAATAATGCCTCTTCTAATGATACTTGTCTTACATATTTGAAAAGTAGATTGACTTCTCGGGGTTGTGCTTTTGTGAAAGGCAAGTTTCTTCATATGAGATGCATTGCTCACATTATCAATTTGGTAGTGGTGGATGGGATAAATGAAATCAAGCATTCCACTAAGAAGATTCATCATGCGGTTCGATTTGTGAAACAATCTCCGGCTAGATTGGCGAAATTTCGGGAGTGTGGTAATGATGAAGGTATTGTGATTAAAAGCTTGTTATGCTTAGATGTGAACACTAGGTGGAACTCAATATACTTGATGTTGAATGTTGCACAAAAGTTTGAGAGGGCATTTGAGAGGTATGAAATAAAAGATCCTTTTCTTTGTACTAGAGCTCAAGCATGGACCACGAAATTGTTGATTGGGAAAATGCTAGAAGGATGGTTGATATTTTATCCCACTTCTACGAGCTAACGTTGAGGATTTCGGGCATATCTTATGTCACTTCAAATGAATTTTATCATGAAATTAGCTTGGTGAATTGCTTGTTAAGTCTTGATATCAAAGCAATGGGTGAAAAAATGAAATCAAAATACAATAAATATTGGGGGGATCCGAAAAATGTGAATCATCTTATTTATGTGGCGGATATGTTGATCCTCGCTACAAGTTGGAGTTCCTTGAGTACGCACTTTGCGAAGAGCATGGAGAAAAGAACGGTTCGGAGATATTCAAGAGTGTGAAGGGGAGTGTTCACGAGTTGTTTGAAGCTTATAAGTTGATTTATCAACCTCATTGTGCCACGTCCACACAATCGACGAATCGAGTTTCAAGTTTAAATGAATCCTCTCATCCCGATCTTTCAAAGAATAAATCTAGATATCACTTGGGGGATAAGTTCAAAAGGCACAAGATAGAGAGTGGAGAAGTAGAAAACAAGTGTGACTTGGATGTTTACTTGAAAGAGAGTACTCTTGTTGTCGAGAAAGATGATTTTGATATTTTGAGGTGGTGGGAACTCTACCAAAGTAGATTTCTCATCCTCTCTTGTTTTGCACGGGATGTGTTGACGATTCCCATCTCTACCGTGGCCTCGGAGTCCGCTTTTAGCACCGGCGGTCGTGTTCTTGATGATTATAGGAGTTCTTTAACTCCTAAAATTGTGGAGGCTCTTATATGTGCTCAAGATTGGTTGAAAAAAAAGAAATTCAAGTGGACCAAGCCCCTTGAAGAAATCCTAGAAGACATTGCAAAAATAGAAGAAGGTACTCTAATGTATTGTGTTCTAATTTCACATTAATTGTATTATATCACTTGTAAATGTTGATTAAATTTTTAAATTTATTTTCTATGATAATAGCTTTGCAAGGTGTTGGGATTAGCGATGTCAACGACAATGAGAACACAATGGACTTGGAGGAATAGGAATGCTATGTGTTTTTAATTTTTCTGTTCCGTTTTATATGTTGTTATGTGATTTCTAACAACGATGTAATTGGTGATTAAGTGGATAATTTTTTATGATTTGGACGTAAAGCATGTAAGATTTACTCAACAATGGCCCCGGTCCGAGGTGAACCGAGGTGAAGAGCCGTGATGGGCTTTTACGTGTTGCTTAATCAAGTTTTTTTCAGTTCGGAGAGAGATCCCCGTACAGATGTCATGGGTTCGCTATTTATAGTAATCTCGGGTTGATACATGGGGATCAGTGCATTGCTTTTTCGAATAAAGTGACTTTTTGTGGGCGGTTTGAGGCAGGGGGTCCCACATAAATGATGACAGATTTTGTGGAGCAGGAGAGTCACTCGTAGGCACCTTGTCACCTGCTTAAGGAGGTGATGACCTCGGTTCACGTTGATCTCGGTAGATGTTGACCTCGGTAGTCGTTGACCACTTCGGTCTTTGGTAGTTCGGTCCGGTCTGTCGCCTGTACCGGAGTGGTATTTGAAATAACGTCGGTTTAATGATCAACTTCCTTTTAATGTGTCGTTTGGAATCTCTCGATGCAGGTTTACCGATCCGGATGATAACATTATAAACTCTGTATATTTTTTGTCTATTTTCTTGTATAAATTTGCTATTGATCGGTCGACTTTCGAAGGTTTTTTTATGATTACTGTGCAATAGGTGTTGTTCTGCTGTTTGAGTGCTGCTGCTGTTTCAGTCTGAGTGCTGTTGTTGTTTGAGTGCTACTAGCCTGCTGCTTTTGTCACAATATTGCACCCTCTGTTTGAATTAAGATGGCAATTCTGCCAGGACTTTTCATTTATCAATTTATGGTCATTGTCATGGACTTTTCAATTATCAATTCTGCCAGGACTTTTTTTATTTATCAATTTGAGTGTTGGACTTATTGTGGTTGTTTAGTTTTGATTTTGTAATGGCATAATGATAATGGGATTTTTTTGTATGGTTTTTTTTTTTTTTTTATTATAGTAATCCTTGTTTATTTGCGGTTAACCAAAAAACCGCACCGCATCAAACCGAACATTTCAGTTCAGTTTGGTTCGGTTTTTTGTTATCATGCGGTGCGGTGCGGTCAAGAAATTTCAAAAAATTGGTTTTCGGTTTTTTTTTGCGGCGTGGTTCGGTCATGCTCACCCCTAGTGGCAGCCACAAGTGTTTCGATGAGCTGCAGTTGTGGGTTCATGTCTACAACATCCACTCCATTGGCAAAGCATAGAAGTGGGATTAAAGATAGGGAAAATTTTCAAAAAAATTACAAATGTGACTATTACCAAGGCAGAAGAAGCAAGTGGAGAAAGAGTAATCAGGCTCTTAGTTCCAGTTAATGTTAAAGAGCTTCTTATGAGATTTGCCAATGTCAGACTTGGGGACCATATTATAAAGGTGAACTTCAAATATGAAAAACTAGTTAGCTTATATTTAATGTGGCAAACTAGGGCATATTAACAGGGACTGCAAAAGTAGAATGGAAGATATAGCTCAGAACTCCCTCCAAGATGGGCAATTTGGAGAATGGGTCAAAGTAGGAGAACGACAGGTAGGTGCTCACTCCTATACTATTCCTTCAGACTCTATAGGATCCAAAAACAAGGGGCAGCCTACCAAATCTACTACTTTAACCCCTGAATCTGATCACATCAGCAAAGTGAATAATCCTCCTACTTCCCTTCAACCCTCTTCAAGTTTGATAGAAGTTCCTGTCAAAAGTTTCTTTGATTCTAGCTAGGAGAAAGAAAGGCCTAATTCTTTAACTATTTTAGCAATGGGCACAGAACAATATGCTGACATGATGTCAGTGCTACTGAAGCTACCCGAATAACAGGGCTAAAAGCAATTGATGAAGATGTTGAGACAGATACCATACTTACAGGAAAGAACTAATCTTGCCAATGGAAACTGAATCAGTGGCTCACACTTCATCTCGTAAACCTTTGCAACACAACCGAAAGAGGTGGAAAAGGACTGGTCAGTCAAGTAGAAGACTCTTGAGCTCTGCAGAGCATCCAGAAGGTTTAACCGTCAATTCTTTGCAAAAAAGAGGAAGAATATGAGAGCAAGACCTGGTTTCATTCGCAGAAGATAACCTAATGCCTCTTGAAAAAGGTAAGAAGCCCAAATTTTCCAAGGAAAAGGTACAGTTGGCCAACCTTAATGGGCCAACCAGTTCTCAATGAAAGTTTTGGTGTGGAATTGTAGAGGTTTGGGTGGACCCTCTACACTTTCCCAGCTTAAGGAGTCCATGAGGACACATCACCCAACTTTTACCTTTCTATCAAAAACCAAAAAACCTGGATCTTTTGTAAATACAGTTTGCATTAGTTTAAGATGTGATGGTAGATGAAAAGTGGTAAATCCTAATAGCCTTTCTGGAGGGTTTCTTTGGATCTGGAGTAAGGAAGTTATAATCTCTCAAATTTTCTGCCATGACTTCTGTATGAAATTTGAGTTCTCTAGAGGACATGATAGTGGAAATACTTGGCTTGTTATGGTCTATCTGAGTTTTATTAAGAGTTCTAGAGATTATCAGTGAAAATCTCTTCGAGCTAAATGGGGGGATCATTGGTATTGTTGCTGGAGATTGGAATGATCTATGTTGTAGAGAAGACAAGAAATGTGGCACTGCAAGAAATCTACAAAGCTTTGTTGGCTTCAACACTTTTATCACTGATATGGGCATGAGTAAAACTAACTGGAAAGGCTATCGGTTTACATGGGCCAACGACAGGGAAAATGAAGACTTGGTTGAAGAAAAATAGATAGGGCTTTCTCATCTCTGTACTAGCATGTATCTCATCCCAATGTCATTGTTAAGAACATTTTCAGGAGCTCTTCTGACCGTAACAAAAATCAGATTTAAGTTTGATAAGAGGTGGCTTCACAGAGAAGTGGTGCAGAATATTGTTGAAGAAGCTTGGTCTCAACCTCCAGAGGGAACTCATACGTTCAGAGTTAAAGAAAAGATCAAGGCAACTAGACAGACACTTTTATCTTGGAGCAAATCTCACAACTGAGGAAATCAGAAGAAAATTCAATCTCTCAGTAGCTTTAGACTCTCTCAGAACAGCTAGTGGTACCAGAAATTGGGAAACTTGGCAATCTTTCACTTCTCAGTTGAACAAAGCCTACTCAAAAGAAGAACTATACTGGAGGCAAAAATCAAGGCACGTGTGGTTAAAAGAGGGAGACATGAACATTAAGTTCTTTCATACCCTAACCACCCAAAGAAAGAAATTGAATGCTATCTCTAGACTGATTGATGAGGAAGGAAAAGTATTTGAGTGTAACACCCCGCTATTTCTTGAAAATCAGAGTACGTTTTTCGTAAAGTTTTTCAAAATAAAACATTTAATTTGCGAAATGCTGATTCAGAGTGCTACCATAAAACATGACTTTATCTGAAAAGTGAAAACCATCATTTTAGTTTTAAGGAAAACAAAACGATTTTACATAACATGTTAAACGACTGGAAGTCGGATCAAAAGCTAAGTTTGGGGAACAATCGTAATCAGCGGAAATACGTAGCGATGCCAAAACATTTTTATACACATGACCAAAATCCTGAACAGATCGCCAGCTCACTCCTCGGCTACGACCCTGTGACCTGAAAAACATGAATAATGTGGGGCGTGATCACTAAATCCACTGTGCTCCTCAGAAACTCATACTAAAGTAAACAGTGAAAATAATTGCAATATCATGATCCTGGTATATACATAAACTGAACATGAAACCGGTACTGAAATAATCATAACCTGATAATCA